AGGCTTGAGCCAGCTCAAAAGAGGGACTCCTGGGCCGGCAGCTCCAAGCAGAGAGGAGGCAAGGCCCAGGCAGGCCAGTCGGCGGGGCCACCCAAGAGGCAGGGAGGAACTAGACAGGTGGGCACCCGTCCCCAGCCCTCACGACCTGACAACCCCCAACTCTTCCCACAGCAAAGGGCCCAGTAGAGAGACCAACGCAGAATCCCCAGGAAGAGTGCACAGGAGAGCCAGGGGACACAGGTGACACTCGCCAACATAGAGGAGAGAAGAGGTACCGACCACCATGGGGAGAGCAGTGCAGCACCAGGCCAAGGTGGGGCAGGCCACAGGTGAGGGCAGCCTGGGTGGGCCGTGCTGGGGGGAAGGCGCACCAGGCAGGAGGGCATAAGGAGAGCTGCAGTGAGCGATCTGGGACAGGCACCTACGGGCTGTGCTGTGCTGGGCAGGGCAGGCAGCAAGACAGCCCACCGCCCCTACCCGGCCCCCAGCCCGACCTGACCGTACCTCCTCCTCCTCCATGCGCCGCAGAGTCTCGCTGATGAACTTGATGTACTGGCTCGTGAGTGTGGTCAGCTCACTGTAGCGGGTGCGCAGGTCCACATACTGGCGGGACGGGAGCGCACCAGGGTCAGCCCTGCCTGAAGCCACAGCCCGAGGCCCACCCAGCCCCTCGCCCAGGCTGGGCTTGTCCTACTCCCCACCCTACCTCCTGGATGACGCTCTCTGATCCAGATTGGACCTTGGGCTTCTTGGCCGGGGAGGCCACTGGCTCAAGCTGCGCCTTGTACGTGACCAGTTGGAGCTCATAGTCCTGTGGGGACACACTGAAGTCAGCCAAGGCAAGTGTCCCCTGGGATTCAGGGCTTGGAGAGGGTGGCAGAGGGAGGGCGGCCTCACCTTGATGGCATTAATGTACTGCTTGGCAAACTCCTGGCACTCCCCGACTTTCTCTCCGTGGCACTCAATTTCCTCCAGCAGGGCCTGGGAAGGGAAGGTGGTCGGCACAGTCCAGGACACGCCCGCCCGCCGCTGCCCCACCCTCCCGGGCCCACCTTCTCCTGCCGTAGCTGCTCCCGCACGGCCCGGCTGTTGGCCAATGGCACGGCCTGGATCTGCTCCTGCCGCCGCTTGGCGTCCTGCAGCCAGGCCCCCAGTGGGTCTGCGCTCTCGCGGTAGTAGCGCAGCTGGCGGCCCAGCTGCTGCAGCTCACGCTGCCGCACGTCTGTCTGAGCCAGCACGGCCTGCCACCGCTCTAGCAGCTGGGTGACCCGCTCGCGCCAGCGTTCCACCTCCACGTCCCGCTCTCCGTGCCGCTGCTGTAGCCGCTCGCCCACCTCCTGCGCCCCCCGCAGCTCATCCCGCAAAGCGTTGAACACTGGCTGCTGTGCCTCCGCCTGGGCCCGCAGCTTCTGTCAGGGACAGAAGAGGTGGGTGTCACTTCAGCTGGGGTCCCCACGGTTCCCCACCCCTGCTGAGGCACAGGCCTGTCCTGGTACCTTCAGTGAAGCCTTGGTGGCCTCAAGCTCCTGAAGGGTGGCAGGCACAGCCTGGGCCTCCTTGAGCTGCTCCTCATGGGCCTTGAGCACCTCCTCAGCCCCTTGAGTGCTGCGGATCACCAGACTGATGGTCTTGAGCCTGGGGGCAAAGCAGGGCTCAGAGGCAGGACAAGGGCGGGCTTAGGCAACAAGCACAGAGGGGTGGATTCAGAGCTCCGGGTACCCTCTGGGTGCTGCTTGCTAAGCCCAGACCCCGACTGGCCAGAGCCCTGGTGGTCGGCAGCCTCTGTGGCCACAGGCTTCACAGAGAACAGAGACTCAGGGAGAAGGTGGTCGTGGGCTTCTCGGACACAGAGACACTTAAGCTCCAGCCTGAAAACCCCAGAGAGAGGACATGCCAACCAGGAACAGCAGACTCCAAGGCCCTAAGGCAGGCAGAACCCACCAGCTGGATGCCAGCCTCGTCCAATGCCCACAGGGCCTGGGGGTGCAGTTCTCGGCCTTCCAGCCCAAGCCTGGTGAGGGCACGTCTGGGGTGAAAATGGCACCACACGCCAGCCAGTTATGTTTCTCTCAACATATTAGTGTTTGTGAGTAAAGGGTAAACAAAGGGTGGTATATCATTTGCCGTACAGGAAGTGTCTATGAAATAATACATCAGAAATAAACGCCAGTGGCCTTCAAGGAGTGAGTCAGGAACGGAATGGACAAGAGACAGGACAGAGGAATGTTTCTCTCTACACTTCCGATTGGATGCACGTGAGCATGCAACCTTCTATGCCTCTGAATGAAAATATGCTGAAATACACAGCACAAGGATGGAAGAGGCCCTGCAGCTGGGCACGGGCAGAGGGCAGGCAGGAGAGCGCGGGCCCTCGCAGGGGCTGTGCATCTCACCCAGGGCTCTGGGCCGGGGAGGAGACCATGGGGCCCCCTGGGCACAAACCTTGGCCCTGGGGCCTCTTACCACCTCTGTCCCTCCATTGTCTCACCCACAGTCCCCACCCCCTACCTACTCCTTGCAAGTCTTCATCTCCACTCTCCACCAAGAAGCCCCTCTCTTGAAGTCACCGATGCCTCCCAGGTGGCCAACCCCTATCTCCTCTGATCCTCACTGGCCTGGGCCACATCCTCTCTGGCGTCCCCTCGCTCCTGACCTCTCCAACACCAGGGCCAGGCTGCCCCTTGGTCCTCCTCCCGCTGTCCACATCTCTTTCCGTCCATGACTTTAATCAACCGCCCTATATAGCAACCCTGTCTTCGCCTCTTGCTCCTGACAGGGCTGGCTGCCTGCTGACATCCACAGTGCAGATTCCCCTAAGTCCTCACCCCCACGGTCTCCCCAGCTCCATGAACAGCACTGTCCCCCTTACACCCACAGAAGTCCCAGGCATCATCTTCAAGATGTGTCAGGACCTAAATGCTCGCCATCTCTGCGGCCGCCACCCTGGCCTGAGCCTGCCATCTGCTGGCCACTCAGCAGCCCCCAACTCATGCACTCATCCTGTCCGTCATCTTCTCAGAACACTCCCACAGTCACAGCCTCACCACAGCCCGACCCAGTTCCCGGCTGCAGACAGGTGTGCTCACTTCTCCAGGTAGATGGCAGACAGGCTGCGGACCTGCTCCAGCTTGCCAAGCGTCAGCTCCAGCTCCGAGCGCAGAGTGGGGGCAGTAGGTGATGGCTCGGGTAGGGCCAGGACCTTCTCAGCCTCAGCAGAGAGCCGGGAGACCCCCTTGCCCAGCCCCTCCACTTCAGCCTGTGCTTTCTGAGGAGAGACCGAGGAGGGGACACGCTGACCACCAGAGCCCAATACACAGCACTGATCAAAGACCCAGGGAGGGAGGTGGGGGCAGAGAGGAGACATGGGGGAGAGAGACCGCTGGGGGGACACGGGGGTGGGATGGTGCCTGCCTGCTGCTCGGCGATGCGCTGGGCACACTCCCGTGCAGGTTCTTTATCCAGTGGCAGCCGCAGGCGGTGCACAGTGCGAGTTTCGCAGGCCTCCAGTTGCAGCCGGATGTCTCTGAGCTCTGAGATGCAGCGCTGGCAGCGAGACTCCTCCTGCTCGCCTGGGGGACACGTACTGATCAATCGGCTGCCGGGCCAGCTGCCCGCCCACCCAGGCCCTGTCTGTGCATACCCTGCTCCAGGCTCTGCAGCAGCTGCTGGTAGTGGTGGCTGCAGGAGCTGTACTCGCGCTCAGCTGTGAGCCGGTCCTCAGGCCCAAAGCCACTGGCATCCTGGCTGTCCCGCAGGAAGGCCTGGTAGTGCAGCTCCAGGCTGCGCAGGGCTTGGCGCTGCTCCTCGGGCTTCAGTGTGCGAAACTGGGGGTGGCAGGTGGGACTGAGCGCAAGGCAAGGCAGGTGGGTGCCCCACAAGATGTCACCTCCCGTCCCCACGCCCAGAGTGCCTGCAGCCAGGAGGCAGTAGTACCGTGACCAGGGACCAGGAGCGGATGAGCTGCACGTCACGGCTGAGACTCTGCCATGCCAGGAGGCTCTTCATGTCCACATGCAGCTGGTGCCAAAGTGTGACCAGGGCCTGGTGCTGGGCCTCCAGCCTACAGGTCAGGGCCACAGTCAGAGCCAGCTCAGGGGTGTCTGAGGCCCCGCCCACTGCCCACCGGCTCCAGCTCCTGGACCCCTGGGCCACCCACCTGGCAATGGCCTCCTGGGCCTCCTGGTTGGGTGGGGGCACGAGGAAGCACACGGAGGGCACGGCAGCCTCGCTGCCGGAGCTGCTGAGCACCTTCCAGTGGGATGGCTGCGCAGGGCCCAGCAGGTGGCACTCGTCACCCTTGTGCACGGTCACCTGCAGTGGTCAGAGTCGGTGATGATGTGGCCACGGCCATGCCCCCACCAGCCATGCCCCTTCCCAGTCAAGCCCTTGGGCCCAGCCCACACCTCCACCTGCTTGTAGTCACACACGGCCAGGAGGGGCACGCGGCCCCGTACAGGGTAGGCTGGGTTGCGGGGCTTCAGCTGCACGATGGCCTTGGCCCGCTTGGCCAGGCCCGACAGGTGCCCCTTGTACTCATTCAGCTGCTCCTTCTCATCCTGTGGGGGAGGGAGGGACCACTCAGGGCCAACACATCCGGCATCCAGACACACGGTATGTACAGAAGAGGGGCCACGAAGACCCCGCGCCTGCCCCCAGCAGGGAGCAGACACCCTAGCAGCCCCAGGATCTGGTCTGTGGTCCTTCCTAATCATCCCGGGGTGGGGGCTCTCGGGGGCAGAAGTTGTGAGGAGGACGGGCCCCAAGCAGATCCCCCTGACCCTCCTCCTCCCTGACCAGGACTGGCTGTCCTTCCCCTGCCCCTGGCCACCTGCTGAGTTCTCAGGGGAAGGGAGCACGGCCCAGCTATGCTCTGGCCCCCACAGCGTCCTACTCTCTCCTCTTCTGGCTGCAGAAGGTCACCCGGCTCCTCCTGTCCCACCCTTCCATGGGGGCCAAACTTCACCAAGGACTGTCCAAGGCTGTGGGTCAAGGTCCACCCTGGAGCCGCCTGCACCTCTCCCGCCCTCTCAGGCTGATGCTGGAGCAAAGGGGCCCCGGCATTTGCAGATCACAGCAGCCCCTCCAGCCTCCTCTCCCCTCTCCCCTGATCACTCCCCAGCGAGTGCACCTGGCCCTCCTGGGTACCCTTCACCCTGCCCCAGGGCATGTGGGCACCATGCCCGGCTGCCACTCTGCCCTCCACGGCCCTTCAGACTGTGACCACTCCAGACGTCAGGCCAGAAAGCCAGTGCACCCGTCCACAGCAAAAGGGCTGGCGGTAGCAGCTGCCTCAGGCCTCCGCTCACTCCCTGCGCTCCAGGGTTGGGGGACTCATTCCAGCTCTGGCCAGCCACCCCCCAGTTCCCCACACTGCCCTCACCACCACTGTGCCCCTCCAGTCTCCCCCCACCTCCGGAGCAAGGCAAGGACTTGCAGCCCAGACTCCAGGCCAGCCCCTCTCCCTGCGCACCTGCCCCCGAGGCAGCCTCACCTGGGCATCCTGCAGCAGGTCCTCAAGCCGGGTGACGGTGATGGAGCGGTCACAGCTGTACTTCCTGCGCAGTGTCTCCTGCAGCTTCTGCAGCTGCTCCTCGGCCTCCCGCACGTCTGAGAAGAACTAGGGCAGCAGGAGGGGACACACCAGGCTGACGGGGCCCAAAGCCCCAGGCCAGAGCGGCCCCAGTGAAGCTTAAGAGGTGAGGCCTGAGGCAAAGCCCCGAGGGGCCTGGGGGATATTCTGATCCAAGCTCAGTGGGACAGAGTGTGGGAAGTGGCTGGCCACATCCTGACAGGCACAGGAGGGCCCCAGTCGGGGCTGTGCATCTGCCATGGTGGTCTGAGGATCTTCCGAGGCACTGCAGCCAAGCCAGGAGGCAAGGGGAGCCTCCGGTCCTCACCTGGAAGTAGGCCGTGTTCTCCTTCAGGTGCGCCTCAATGCAGCAGCACAGCTGCAGCATCCAGCTCCACTGGGTCTGCAGGGCCGCCTGGAAGGACTGCAAGACACCAGGGTCCCCGTCAGGCCCTGCCCCCTCACCTGGGGGCCCAGGGTGCTCCCCGCAGCCCCACCCACCTCCACTGTGCGCCGAGCAGGGTGGTCCTCCCGTAGCAGCCGGTCCCCGGTGTCCTGAATCTCCTTGATCTTCTTCTCCCTCAGTTCCAGCTCGCGCATCAGGGCCTGACACAGGAGCAGAGGGTCTCACAGACGGTGTCTGGGCCACGCCAGGGCCTGCCAATCTCCCAACAGACTCAACCCCAGTCCCAGGCTGGTCTCCGTGGAGCCACCACAGCCACCCGAGGGGCTCCTGACCACGGGGGACAACCATAGACACGGGCAGGGGGTGGTGGTCATGGCAGGGTTCTGGGAGGCTAGGTGTCACCTCACCGAGTAGCTCTCCTTCTTAGCGACCATGTTGGCGTTGCGCTCGCTCCAGTCAAAGCTCACCTCCTCCTCTTCCTTCTCATTCAACCACATGAGCTCCTTGGTGGCGGCTGCCACAAAGCCGTGTAGGCTGTCCAGGCACCGCAGGCGGGCCTTGGAGGAGTTCTGTGGGCAGGCAGGTGCGCACGCGTCAGCAGGCCACAGCCGCTGCCCCCCTCCCTCAGCCCTGCCCGGACCGCACTCACGAGTAGCTTGGCATACTGCAGGTCTAGCCTTCCCAGGTAGTCACGGTAGGTGCCCCGGGTGGCGGGGGAGAGCTGGCCCTGCAGGACACGACGGGCGGTGAGGCCTGCGGTGGCCGGGGCCTGGCCACCACCCACGCCGCCCATGCAGCTGCTTACCTCATCACTCCGCGCCCGCTCGATCTTGGCCCGGAATTCCTCAATGGACTGGTGCAGGCCACGGTGGCTGCCAAGCTGCGCCTCCACACTGGGCAGGTCCACGCCCCATTCGGCGCTGTCCACCCGCCGCTGGTTCTCCTCCACCCAGGCCAGCAGGTCCTGCAGGTAGCGCAGGGTGGAGTCCTCCAGCTCTGGGCGCCTCTGCGTGCTCTGCAGTGTCACCTGGGTCACTTGGGTCACAGGGGCGGCCACGCCTGCTTTCAGCCGGAGGTTGTACTCAGTGCGGATAGCCACCAGGCGTTCGTGCAAGCGGTATACCCTGGACACAGAGGAGTCCTGAGGGGTCAGTAAGCTCCAGGCTGCCCATGCCCAGGCCACCAGGCAGGGGCAGGGCCGGACCCACCTGCGGTACATCTGCTCGCCCTGTGGGTGCCGTCCATCCTTCAGGGTCTGCACGTCGTTGAACAGCAGCCGGATCATGCCATCTGCATTGTCCAGGTCCCGCTCCACCTCCCCTGCCCGCTGTGGCACCTTGCCTGCCGCCAGCAGCCGGACATCCTGCACAGTGGTTGTCTGTGACCCAGAGCCCAGCTGACCCACCTCCTGACCACATACGGACCCCAGCCAAGGTGGCCACCCTTACCCACCTCCCCAACTTGAGACCCAGGCCTCAGCTGGCCACTGCCGCCGGGTCCCCATCCTTTCTTCTCCATCCTTGCTGACCCCACACATCTTCCTTACCCACACTTGGGGCCAAATCTCCACCCACTGGCTCTCTGAGGGTCAGGGACCAAGTCCACGGGAATCCCCGAGCCTCATCCTCCCCCAACAAGCCCCTGCCCGGGCCCACAGACCCACAGCCCTACATACCCCACGGGTATTCAACCAGCAGTGGTTCTGGGGCCCTCCCCCCCACCTCCACCAATGGTGAGCCACTGCGGGGTAGGGGACCTGGGACAGGGCAGGGCCTGAGAGGCTGAAGCAGTCAGGGCTGGCTGCACGCCCGTAGGGAGGAGCTGCAGCCTGCTTTCCCGCCCCCACACCCTTCCCACCACGGGCCTGGCAGCCTGCCCCCTCCTGGCACTAACTGCAGGCGTGGCGGGCTGGGCTCCTTGCTGGGCTCATCGCTCCCCTCCCACCTCCCTCCCACCTCGGTCCCTCCCCTCCCCCTCACCGACTGCAGCAGGGCGTCGGCCTGGTTCAGCTGCTCCTCGCACAGCCCCGCCTCCATCTGCAACTTGCTCACGATGCGCTGAAGACACTCCAGCCTGCAGCCCCAGAGCGCCCAGGACACCGCTGTGAGCGGGCCAGCTGCCACACACCCTGGCTCCAGGGTGCAGGTCCCCTCCTGCTCTGGCCTCCCTGCCTGCCTGCGGCCTACTGTCCACTGGCCCGGAGCTTGGGTTTCCCCAGCCTGGGGGGTGATTTCCTCCCCAGCCAGTGACTCACCCTCGGGTGGCTCCCCTGCCACCACAGGGCCCCGCCCGCCCGCGCCTCACCACCCCCACCCACCTCTCAAACTCGCTCCGGAGCTGCTTCTCCCGCTCCAGGATGGCCACGTGCAGCTTGCCCCACTCCTTCTCCACGTCCAGCGGGTGGTAGCCGGGAGGCACCTTGAGCTGGCCTGCCTGCACCGCCGCCTGTGGGCAGGGGCCAAGCCCAGGCCTGAGCCTGCGCAGGGGTGGGAGTGCCGGGCCCTCAGCCCCCAGCCCACCCAACCTGGAACAGCCCTGGACATGCAGGCTTGATAAACAGGGCCATGCCAAGCTCTGCAAGGCCCCCAGGCTCTGGGGCTCCGGGACACACCACTCACCTCCAGGGACTGGTAGATGCCCTTGGACCGGTTCTTGTCTGCCTCCTTGGCTGGAAGCTCCGTCTCCTTAAACTTCAAGAACTGGCACCACAAGATCTACGGGGACAAGGGTGTCAGCAGCCACGCTGGCCCTCAAGGCAGGCCCAGTTGCCAGCCAAGGGCAAGCCCACCTCGATCTCCTCAAAGCTGGAGGGAAACTTGCGCTCCTCGAAAGCGGCCGTGTGGTGCCGGATCCACTGCAGCAGCAGCAGCACCAGCTCCCGGTACTCCTGCCAGCGCAGCTGCAGCTCCTGGGTGGGCAAGAGCCAGCGGGTCAGTGCAGCTAGGTGCCAAGCCCACGTGCCCACCCCATGGGGGCCCACCACTCACGTTGGCCTTCACCCCATCCTGTGCGTCAGGCACGCGGGGCATGGCGTCGTACAGAGATGAGACGTAGGTGATGATGGACTTCTCATCGGGCTGAGGGACATCCACATCTGCAGGGGATGGTGGGATCAGAGGGCGCCCTGGCCAGTGGCAGGGATAGGAAGAGGGAGAAGGGACCCGTGGCACGTACCCTCGGGGTCCAGGAGCCGAGTCACTCCCAGGTCCCGCTCTGCCACAGAGAAAGCCTGGTCCAGATTCTCCAGGTTGGTCTGACGATACACCTTGCTCATGTCGATGAGCATGGGCCTGAGGACAAACGGGCAGGTGGGCATGACAAGGTCAGGGATGCCCACCGAGCAGGGCGCACATGGGCAGACCCTCCACACAGAACCCTAACCCCAGACTCGCCCTGAGGGATATGCTGCCCACTCCACTGAGGCCCTAATCCTGCCCACATGGGCAGATCTGGAATAGGCCCGCTGCCCCCACCCCCAGAGCCCAAGGGCACAGGCGGGCGCTCTCAGTAGGATGGCAGAGGTCAGCCTGGGCTCCCTGCAGCCGCCCGCACGCCCGGCCCCTGCTGAGGTGCTTGGGAAGGGCCTAGGAGGCAGCAGGCAGGGCAAGAGGGAGGGGCTGGGCCCTGCTCGCTGGCACAGAGGAGGCTGGCTGGCACTCACCCCCGCAGGCGGCAGGTTCCCGTCATTGGAAAACGGTCCTACTGCCACCCTCCTGCCCCGACTTGTTTGAAGTTGCCCAGCTGGGGTGCTCTGTGTGCCCCTGACCTGCAGCCCCCTCCCCCAGGGGCACGTACTTGTGCCGGTGGATGATGGCGTTGAAGAGGCGGCCGTCGCGCCAGCTGGAGGTGAAGTTGTCACAGCGCAGGCCCTGGTAGCCCTCCACCATGCGCTGTGACCACAGCAGCAGCTTCTCCTTGGCCGTCATGTCCTCAGACTGCCCGCTCACCTGGATGTCCGAGATCTGCCCCACGCAGCGGGCAGGAGGCAGCAGCTCAGTCCGGCCACCCGGCCTTCCCATGCCCACCCCACCCAGTGTCCACGACCACGCTCATGAGGGCAGGGGTGGCTTGGCACCCAGCTGGGGTGTACAGGAGTCACCAGGCCAGCTGAGGCAGAGCAGGGACCATCACACCTCAGTGCCACAAGACAAGGCTGCTCCAGCCAGCAACTGCCACAGAACAGTCAGAACCCCCAACCCTACCTGCCATATGGTGAGTGCCCTGGGCTCCCCTTAGCTGGGAGGTGCACCCCAGAGGCTGGCGTAGGGCAGAGCTAGTGGAGAGTGGACACAAGAAGAGCAGCTACAGACCCCCAAACTGGCCCAGAGTCCCCAGGCCTAGAATCAGCTGTCAAAGTTGGGGTGGGGGCAGGTCAAGGCCCCCTCTCTAGTTGAAGGCCAGGGGTAGGGCCTCTGGGGGTTGGGCAGGGAGTGCACCCACAGTCTGGTCTGGGCGTGCAGGGGACACAGCCCTGCCTGGCCCTGCACTTAGTCCAATCTTCGGGCCTGCTGTGCCGGCCATGGCCTGTCAGCATACCCGCCTGCCTGTCCCTAGCTTCCAACTGCCTGTGTGACTCAGCTGCGTGCCACCCTGGCTCTGCCACCCCTCTCAGATTTGTGGCTTCCTGTGCGGCCAGGACAAGCAGTGGGTGAGTCAGCCGGTGCAGCCTGTGCTGCTCCAGAAGCTTCCCCAGGGCAAGCTGCAGAGAACACATTCCTCTGCAGGGAGGATCTGCGGGCCCTGCCCAGCCAGGGCCAGAGGGCAGGGGCCAGAGGGCGCGGGATAGACAGGCCTTGAAGGGAGGCCTGGGCCCTCAGGCCACGCGCCAAGAAAGGGCTGGGGCTGGCAGGAAGGCTCCCAGGTGCACCATGACAAGGGCGCCACCTCCTGGGCCACACCTCAGCCAGGAACCAGGCCAGCCCACCAGCCAAGGAGCCCATGGCAACCCTGGGGCCTCCCGGGGCGGCCTCTCCACCTGGAAATGCAGGATGATGGTCCAGATCAGGCCGAGGGTCAGCTTGGGGTTGCCGTCGGCGATGTCATCATTTCTGATGTTCACCAGCTTCACCTGTGAGAAAGTGGCCCAGTCATGGTCTGCAAGGCAGGGCTGGCTTGGAGAGAGGTGAGGGGCCTGGGGCCAGGTGGGCAGCCTTACCTGGCGGTGCCGGAGGTAGTCCAGGGCGATCTGGACGTTCTGCAGCTTGTGGAAGCGCATCCTCCCCTTCTCTCGGGGCTGAAAGGAGATGGGGCCTGGTCACTGGCCACGGGGCGGCTACCACTCTGGGCCCCACCCCTCAGTCCCCCCGGAGCAGCTCTAGTGACCAAACCAAAGGTCTTCCCCAGTGGGGCAGCGGCCCCTCCCATACCCCAGGTGCACCCTCCTGAGCTGGGAGAGGGAGGCCACCAGCCCAGGGGGTGGGGCCAGGGGAAGTCCAGCAACCCAGGCTGCGGGAAGGAAGGAAGGGGGCGGGGAGGAGACAATAGCGAGGAAGCCGCACTGGTGGTGGCACTGGAGGGGAGAGTCCTACTGCCTGGCAGCGGCAGCAGCCATGGCAGCTCCTGGTGGTCCCAGGCCCAGCCCCGGCCATGTAGCAGGAGTGACAGCCAGCGGCTTGAACACACAGCTGTCTGCCCACCCGAGAGCAGGATGAGCCGCCAGACACAGTGAGCGGGGCTCCACCGTGTTGGGGAGCCCGCGTGCCGCTGTGGCCAGCAGGCACAACCACTCACCAGGCGCAAGCTCCTGATTACGTCCCGCTCCCTCAGCTGCCCAGCCAGAGCAGCACAAAGGGTAAAGGGCAGAGATCAAGGTTCAGAGTCCAAGCAGCAGAGAAACCAAAGCAGAGCAGAGCATGAGGTTACTGTGTTAGGGTCCCAAGGCGTAGGGTAGCAAGGGTTGGAGCGGCCTGTGGCTCGGGGGTCGTGGTCACTCCCAGGCCAGCCCTCAGCTGCAATGCCCGACACCCTGGACTGGAAGGCACAGAGTGGGGCGAGGCCGGGCCACTCCCAGGGAGAAGGCAGGAGGGGGCCAAGCTGGACACAGAGTAGGCACTTGGGAAAGGGCCCAAGGAGAGAAGGCAGGCAGGGGTGTCCAGTGAAGGCCAGCGAGGCCACAGAGGAGGGCGGGTGCACATACCAGGCTGTCCCCCGAGAGGACCTCCAGCAGCGAGATGAGGTTGTGGCCATCACGGAGGTCTTCGTACAGGTCACTGATGTGCCGCTGGGCCTGCAGGGACAGACCAAAGAGCCAGGCACTGACCCCAGGGGGAGAGAGGCAGGGGGCCCAAGTCCCTCAGGAGCCCACGGAACATGCCCCTACCCCGTGGAGGCACCTACCTCTGCCCTCCAGTGCTACACGGAGGGACCAGGAGGAGGAGGAAGAGGAAAGAGACAGGAGCGTGGAAGGAAAGAGCACAGAAAAGAACAGTTCTCAGAGAGGAGACAGGTGAGCACACGGGCGCTGAGGACAAGACAGCCCTGGTAGGCACCCTCCTGAACCCCACCCCGTCTTCTCATCCTGTGACCACCCCCCACACACATTGCAAGCAGGCGCCACCAACCTTGATGAGGTGCTTGTTGACCCACTTGGTGAAGGTTTTCTTCTGCACACGGTCCCGCTCATCTGGGGGAGAAAAGGCCAGTTCACCTGGGGCCTGGGAGGAGCCCAGGGCGGCCCCCAGGTAGCTACTGTGCAGACGCAGCAGCCTGGCCGGCCAGATCCCAGCCTCAGGCCTCCCTCAGATCACACACTGAGACACAGCCCCCACCTCAGACCCCAGCCCCGGCAGGACAGCAGAGACCAAAGTGCCCAGCCAGCCCAGGTCCAGGTGCGGGAGGTGGCACTGCGGGACACGAAGGGGGACAGGCACAGCACAGGGCTGCTGCACAATCCCCCTATTGTCTCCGACGAAGATGGGAGGGTCCAGAGCCAGCAGCCGCACCCAGAGCCTGCAGCGCACAAGTCCCAGCCTGCACCCCGCACCCCCACCCCACGCTGCCTCTGATGAGACCTAAGCGGAGGCGCAGCAGAGCCAGGGACGGGCGCGGCCAGGGGTGTTGGAAAGGGGACCGTGGGCAGTGGGTCTTCTCCAGGGGTGTTGGAGCGAGGCCCCCACCGGTCCAACCGATGCTGGGCATGTGGCTGGTCCCCCAGCCACTCATCTCAAGAGTCTGGCCCCTACGCCTGCCAGGTGCCTTCCAGCCACAGAGGCCCGCCCTGCCCAGCAGGGGCACCCGCCGCTACCTTTCTTGCCCTCGGAGGCCCTGAGCACAGCCAGGTAGAGGTTGTCTTCCGAGCTGGTTCTCTGGCCACCCAGGCCCTCAGGCTGGGGCACGCGGAGCCGGTGCTGAGACATGGCGCTGCCCCGCCCCCCTCGGCCGTCGCTCGGCCCTCAGGTGCTGCGCTCCGGTCGCCCCGCGTGGCACACAGGCAGCTGAAGGCTCGGGCCGCGCGGACGCTTGCTGGGCACAGGCTCCGCTCAGAGTCGGCACGGCCACTCCCTGCCTGCCCTACTCCCCAGCGACGCCGGCCCGCCCCGGGGAGGGGCGCCCGCCGAAGGAGGAAGGCGGCCCCCACGGCCACGCCCTCGGCCGCCAGAAACAGGAAACCAGGTTTCCTCACCCACCCTGCTCACGCTGCCCCTGCAGGGCCCCAAGGGCCCTGCTACTTCGCTGCATACTGACTGCTTCCAGGACCACAAAGGAATGCCACCACCCTGAAGGACCCCACCAGGGAGGGGTGCTTGAGCATGGCTGGGCCAGGGCCCTGCGGCGACATCTCCCCACAGAGAACAGTCCAGCGCTGCCCCTGCAGCCTGCCCAGCCTCCCTGCTGAGGTCTGACTCTGGGAGGGAACCCCCAGCCTGCCTGACACCTGAATCGCACGTCCTCACAGACCTCTGCCCCCACCCCTGCTAGGCTCCTCTGCTCCTGCTCCCTGACCGCGGGGTCCTGTACCAGGCCTAGCCCCTCCTGAACTGCCCACCAAGCAGAACACACCTCAGGCCTAAGTGGGCACATAGCTGTGTGCTGACTCATTAAGGCGCCAAGCTGCAGGAACACTTCTCCATGTGGGGTGGGGGGTGCTGGCGGTGGTGGGGAGCCCCTGGAGGGGGCCCAGCCAGTGAGTCAGGGCTGGGGAGGGGGACTCAGGCGCTGTGTGACTCACTGGAAAGGAAGCCACACCTGGGGGCTGGACGGGTGCAGGGCTGTTAGCAGTCGGGTGGGGCTTGTAGAGAGCAGCTGCTCCGGGCTGTAAAGGTGGGAGACCCGGGCAAAAGGTGCCCGGCACCGGGACCGTCGCCCTGGCTGGGCCTCTAGCTCCCACAGCTTGTGGACCGAGCTGTCTGTGGGGCGTCTAGGACTGCCCAGCCCCACAGGAAAGAATGTACCGCCACGAACCACAAGAATTTTCCAGTCTCTGCATCTGGCTCGATGCGATCCAGCTGTGAGCTGCTGAGGAAACTCCCCCCCCCTTCCCACAGCACGCCTCCAGGCCTCTGTTCCCGGAAAAGCTCACCCCCCCCACTGCCAGTGGTGGCCACAAGAGGGCACCAAAACCACACTGGGTGGGGGGGTGCCCAAGCCAGGCAGTGCTGGTTAAGTACCCCCACCGCCCCACACTGAGGGGCACAGCCAGTCCCCAGGACTCTGCCAAATGTCTTATACCTACCTCCCCCTACCCCAGCACTGCTGAAGACACCCTCCAAGCCTGGACTCAGCCTGGCACAAAGTGAAGGGAGACCCTCCTGCTCTGCCCTGTCCAGCCCAGCGGTCCCCACAACCCCACCAGACACCAGCTCATCACTCTCTGGAGGTGCTCTAAAATCCCAAATCTGACCCCATGCTGGTTAGTGCTCCCAGAACAGTGTACCCAAGGGCTTCTCGCAGCCCCAACACACCACCAGCCCCCCTTCTCAGGTTTGGAGCCTACAGAAACAGTCTGCCTCTTCAGAGGACCCCTGTCCCCAGCAGGGGTCCTGAGTTCACAAAGCTCATCAGATAGAGATCCTGCCATATGGCTCTGAGAGGGTCTGGGCCAGGAGGTGGGTACAGGGAACTCCAGGAACAGCTGGAACCTGGAGGAGCCAAGCCTGCTGTCCATGACTCCTGGGAACCCCTACCCCAGTTCCGGACAGTCCCCATCTCCAGCATCCTCTGCCACTAACAGGTCTCCAAGGATGCTGCAGGGGCCCCCCATTCCCCAAGCCTCCGGCAACCTGGAAGGCTTCCTGCCCCTGAGCTCCTTCCCCGTGTCCCCTCCCTCCCAGCCCTGCCCGCCCTTGCCGCTGGCTGTAGATGCCCCTTCCCCATCCATCCTATCCAGACCCTCAAACCAACAGGCAACTCCTCCCAGCCTGGCCAAGTCCCCATCTGGCCCCAGCCAGGCCATGCCGACCCTTCAAATACTGCTGCACACCTCAGTGGCTCTCCCACCTCTGTCCGAGCCACCCCAGGAGAGCCCCCGGCATTGGTGTGACCCCTGGACTGTCCAGGGCAGCCCAGCATCCCCTAGGGGAAAGGAGCTGCCCACGGCCCTCCGAGGAGTACCCTCACCCTTTTTTGCGGATGAGGAAACCAATGTTGGAGGCCTCACAGCTAGTGAAGATGGGCCTGGGATGGAAACCCCCAAGGACAAGGCAGGGATCCCCGCTGGCCAGGGAGAGCTGCAAATCTGCAGAGGGCCCCGAGCCACGCCTCCAGTGCCTCCCTCTCATCCCACGAGTCCTCATCGCCAACGCCCAGGCTGGCGTGGAGCAGCGGGGGTGGACCAGCACCCCCAGCCCCACCCCTCTCCCCATCCCCCTTCTCCAGAGACAGACAAATGCAAGAGGGTGACATCCCCAAAACTTCCTCCCCAGGTGCTTCCGGAACCCAGCGGGGCTATACCTGGGCCAGGCACCACCCCCGTCATGGCCCCGGTGGCCTTTCCCAGTGGAGACCCAGCCCCAGTGAGAGCTATGGCCACCCATCCTGTGCCACCAACCCCATGGCCACACCCACCTACACAGCACAGTTGCCCGTAGAGGTAGCCCCTGCGGGCCCGCTCGCAGCCCCCGTCCAGCCAGCACGGCCGTTCCAGAACGACCTCCCTCTGCGAGGCAAAGGCGCCCCCCGCCCCCCACATGCCTGCCGCAGCCATGAGCCCTGGGTACCCTGGGGTTGCCCAGGACAGACAGCACGGCAAGCCTGACAGTGGCCGCGCCTCTGCTCCCAGCCTGCACTGCCAGGTCGCAGCTGGGCTCTCCACATCCTACCCCGCCCGCCCACAGCAGGCGTGAGGCCCAGACCCGAAGAACCTGCCCCTGGTGGGGTGGCCCCGCCCAGTGCAGGCCAGGAAGCCACGCCCCAACCTACAGGGAGAGGACCCCCCTCCGCCTGGAGATGGGGGTGGGGGGCTGCCCTCAGGGACAAAGCAGCCTGGGAATTCGCTGGTGGCCCAGGTTCCAGGGGGGGAGCACCAGCGGATGCCCATGCACAGGGAAACCCCTAGACTGACAACTGCAGGAGGGCCACTCCCAGCAGGATGCGCCCTAGCGGCTGGGGAGGGGGGCCCAGGGAGGAAGGTGGGGGATGGTGCGGAGGCGGTGGGCAGAGACCAGCCAGAACAGAAATGGGGTGTCTGAGCACCGCAGGGCGGTGGGGGCAGTGAGTGGTCAGGACAGTGGCCGAAGGGGAGCCCCTTCCCCATGTGGGCTGAGGGACGGACGAAGGGAGGGCCAGCGTCTGGTCCCCAACCAAAAACATCCAAAGGGAAGAAGCCCTCAGCCTGTGAAAGTAACCAACGTCCTGGCCTGCAGCTGAGTCACTGGCTGCTCCCGGGAATCCCCCGAGCCACGCCCAAAGCCCCACCCTGATTCAGATCTCAAGTCCAGGCGACCGGACACACAAGGCGGAGACCGAGCAGGCCCGCTAGGGGGCAGCCCTGGCTAGTTCCCCCATCGCAGGTTCGTCCCGGCCAGCCAAGGTGCACCCCGGTGCAGACCCAGCACAGCCTCCATGTCCCCATTAGGGCAGTTCCTCTGATCAGAAGCCACGTGAGGAACTGCCCAATCCCCAGGGACATTCACTTCGGCCCCACCTCATCGGTGCTGGACATGGCTGCCCTTCGGACTACAGCCCAGGAGCTGGTGACTTTGAGCAGCAGAGGGCACAGTCCTGCCTGGCTGCCTGCCCCAAGGCTGGTCCTAGGCCCTGGCCGAGGGAACTCGGGCACCTGCCATGCCTGTGTGCAGCTCAACCCCACACTCTGTGGGCGGAGGACAGCGCCACGCACCAGCCACCTGCGCTCACCTGTTCCTGCTGTGGCAACTGGGGAGGGGCCTCCCTTCAGGAGGGGGTACTCCTGCACTACCCGTGCTCCCCAACCCAGAGCCCACCGCCAGTCTGTCCTCCCATCACCCATCCAGCACAGGCTCCAGGCTGATGACAGCAGCAGGGCCCGGCCACCACAGGGAAGCTGGCAGGATCTTCAACGGAGGATCGAGGAAGGGGGCCAAACCGCTTTCCCAAACATGCGCTGGTGTTTAGCTCAGGAACAGGAAGAGGAGGGCCCAGGGGCAGCAGGGAGGCGGCCCCTCCGCCCCCGGCCCGCCCCCGGCCCGCGAGTGCAGCAGCTGGTGA